GCAATGCTATGAAATAAAAATGATCAAAACCACTACACATACCGGTGGTGACGGTCCCTGTTATGGGCAGAGGTGTAATCAAACTATGGCTAAAACGTCTTTTCTCTTTTCCTGAGACAATCTGCAGAACCAAGCTGCAGAACTACACCCCTGCTTTGTTGCCTGGCTGCTGCTCCTTCCGTGGGTGCCCAAATTCCTTGGCTGTGCATGATCTTTGCTCCACGGTAACAAGGCTCGACATGAGCTGCAAGAACCAACATCCGAAACCTCAAACTGTCCCAAAGTTTTATCAAATACATCTACCCAGACAAAAATGTGCGTATTTGCACAAAAACTGCTGCCTGACTGACTTAAGAACTTTGTTTGATCTACAAACCATTTTTCTCTGTGGAAGAGTCTTCGATCAAATCCATTCAAAAGCAAACAAATCCAGCGAGGATGATTAGAGGTAACAGATCTGGGAGAAAGCAAAAGGTTGTGTTTGAGGTATTCAGTATCTTACACACAGGATTGATTTATGCAGGCCATGGGGAATTTTTAAAAGAAACTTTGTTAAATAAAAAAGCAATTAACCTGAATGAAGAGAGCTTAATAGCCCCAATATGTCAGGCTCCCAGCCAGTGACCTTTGTTGCACATACACAGCTTTACTCAAAGGATCACAAAACAAGGCAGAGGACTATAAACTGTCAGCAAGAAGTCTGGAAGGAACACTTGTGATTCTTAATTTTGACTCATATAACACAAAGCCAAGCAAATTTCACAGATCAATACAATGCTTGAACAGGGGCACAATTACTTAGAAATGGCCCAGCTTGCATTTTAAATGTGGTCAGAGGTAGAGAATCTAAAGGTTTAGATGAATTTCTCCAAAGGTTAAGTGCTTCATACCTAAAAAAAAAAAAAAAAAAAAGACTCCCGTGTCTTTAACTTTCTGCCACTGGATCTTTGTTTTGTTTTTTATTACCAGGCACACTTCCACTGCATCATCACTTTGTTTTAGTGAACAAACACCTTATGTCCTTCAAATCTTCACTCCTATCCTGTATTCATTCTTATTGCTTTTCTAAACCCTGTTGTTTATGCACATTCTCCTTTAACTGGACATGATGCAATTTTATTTTTATTAACCCTCTGTCACATCACTCCTTAGAGAACTCGCATAATTATGTTTTGATACCCAGGTGGACTCATTAAGCATTGGAGTATAAAAAAATTGGGATGCAAAAGATGCAGCACCATCGAGCTTAATATTGTAGTACGTTGTAGAGAAACTCAGGAATCTGGAAAATGCTAAAATGGAATGTGGTCGTTTGCCAAACAGTACTAGGGTATTTTCAGTACTGGTATTTGAGAGGAATCATCTCACCTATCTGGGCTTCAGCTCCACACTTGGACTATCAGCTTGCAAGAAGTATTTTTAATACTGTTGTTAGCACATGTTGAAAACAGGCTACGATGATTTTACAGTCCTCAGCTTTCTGAATCAAAACGTCCTACACCATCTGAAACACTGCACAGAGCACTTTACACTCCAACACCATCATGTTTATCAATCACACCTGTAATCCCATCAAGAGAAGATAAGAATAGCTGGCGTAATTAAGTTTTAAAAAATCAATACTGATCACCATACTGCCTGAGGCACATGAGGAAGGTCCAGAAACCAACAGGCAGAAAAATAAAGCTCACTGTGACACTGAAAAGACCAGGATCTGAAACTGCAGCGTTTTCAGCAGCTAGTTCAAACAGCTTTTTACTGTTTCTCGCCCCAGGATTTTGCTTTTTCCTGCTTCTACACTACTCAATGTAAATTAGAAAGACTCAGGTTTCTGGAAAAGTTTTTGCTGAGACACACACAGTTAGTTTTGTAGCTGTTCTCCAAACTCACCACGACCCAGCCTAAAAAGAGCTCCAGCCTTTTGCACGACATCACTACACTGTGCTGCTGCACAGTCCCTGGACACAAAGAAGAGCCAGCACAGTGTGGTGACAGTGGTGGCACCACTGCAATCTCCTAAATATCTTAGGGCATACATCACACTGCCAGTAAATGCCATTCAGACAGACTCAGGTTGGTGTACTTTCTTTACAAAGGGTAAAGAGCTCCATTGGTCCAACCAAAACACTACACTCACTACTAAAAAGATCTCCTATGTCAAGGACAAAAGTGTGATAAGACACTTGAACAGCCACTGTTGACTGCTAGAATGATGTGTCCAGTTCAACAGGCACTTTCACAAAACGAGGAGGATTTACAGAAAGTCACAGGAACTAATACCACACCTTGCAGTGAGGACTGAGGGGGCAGCTGGTGCACATTCACTTTTAATTTTTCCACTGTTCATAGCTTATATTTGCCAAAGGTTGCAAAGCAGCTTTAAGACAAGTCATGGGCATGACAACTGTACAAAAAAAAAAAATCAAGAACTGCTCACTGATTCATTGCCTAGCCTATCCTAAGCTGGCTATCCTAAGAGAAATTGGTCAAGCAGATCCATCAATGTCCCTGAGTTTTCTGTCCCAATCATTTGCATATCAGCATTGTGTAGCAACAGATTGTCAGCAGAAAGCACACCTTGTATATTCAGTGTCTTATTTCAAAAAGAATTTATAATGAGCTACCATCACTGTAAAAACAAAACTATGACACTGCTTTTATTCCACTTTGACTTGCATTCCAGCTTGAGAGGAGGCTTTCTGCTAATTTTGAATAGTTAGAGAGCAATAAAAAACATGGTTTAGCTGGCATTCCAATTCCTACAAATATTGCTCTAGTGTAACTCCTGACAGCTTGTTCCCATATATATCCAACATTTTTTTGAATCTTAGTGGATTCTCCATTTTAAATGGTATTCTGCACCAAGAAAAATTAACACCTCAGTCAAGTGTTCTGCCCAGAACAGAAGGAAAACAGCCTTCCATATTTACCATTGCCCAATCACCTACTGCTTCATGGTTATTTCTGCAGATTATTAAAAAGGACAGTTGCTCCAAAGAGTGGGTTACCAGATAGAGTATGAACATTTATAACACTCAGAGACGACATTCTGAAATTAATGTTATCATTGGGATCCCATTTCTGACAGTCCTCCCCAGGTGTGCTCCCATGACAAGACACAGCTGCTGAGAGCTGCTGTGTTGCTCCACCTCAGCAATTCTATACAGTGTTTTTCTTCCATTCAGCTCCACCTGATTTATCTTCCAGACCTTCGTGCCTGCCAAATTCCACTGTCTCCTTATAATTTATTTGTTTTGTTATGATCTTTGAGTTTCAGTTTTCTTGCATTCTGAATTATGTTAACCATCGTCAGTGATTATTAAATAGGTACTGGTGACAATCAAAGGGTCTTCCCACTAAAGCACCTGTACAACCCCTCTGAAATGCTAGGAGGTCACTAGCTGGAACACTGGGATAAAGCTCTGCAAGTTCAAGATCACCAAGTTTCCCCAAGGGGAAGAGGAGGTCAAGGCTGATATTTGTCCTTTATCAATTCTTTCTTTCCAGCCATCACCTGCTAAGGAGCATGCCTCAGTACCCTTCCTGCAGCTATCCTGCATCCTGACACATCCATCCTTCTGCCAGCCTCACAATCCACCGGAATGCCCCTGGGAGGTCTCTGATGAGGCTGTTTTTCCCTGTGCCAGCTTGGCTCTTCCATGGCTCCTCCTATGGCCAGCCACTGCGACTTCTTCACAGTCCTTCGCACTGCCCCTCTCACTCACACACCGAGGGCCAGGGCAGCTCTCCCCGGGCCAGGGCAGAGCCCACCAGCAGCAGCAGCAGGGGCTGCACAGGGGAAGCCCCATGACAGCTGCACTAGGGACACAACGCTGCACTTGGCTCACGCTGCCCACTTGAACCCGGGTGCCCCGTGCCACCCGCTGTCGTGCCAGCCCTTACCTTGATCAGCTTGCAGCGGATCTGGGCAGACACCATGTGGCTGTTGCGGAGGTTGCCGACACGAAACATGAGGCAGAGCCTCCCATCCCGCTGCGAGATGACCGCGGCGCGGCTGAACATGAGCGTCTCGGCTCGCTTCTTGGGCTGGGACATCTTGATGAACATGCAGCCGATGAGGAACGCATCGACCACGGAGCCCAGCAGCGACTGGAAGAGGAAAAGCACGATGCCCTCGGGGCAGCGCTCGGTGATGTAGCGGTGCCCGTAACCGATGGTGGCCTCGGTCTCTATGAAGAAGAGGAAGGCGGAGGGGAAGTTGTACACGTTGGCCACGCAGGGGCTGTAGGTGTCATCGTGCGCCTGGTGCAGGTCACCTCGCAGGTAGGCGATGCCCCACCACATCGAGGCCATCACCAGCCACGCCACCGTGTAGGTCAGCAGGAAAATGAGCAGGTTCCAGCGCCACTTGAGGTCCACCAGCGTGGTGAAGAGGTCGGAGAGGTAGCGGCTGCTCTCGCCGCCCAGGTTCCCGTGCTGCACGTTGCAGCGCCCGTTCTTGTCCACGAAGCGCTGCCGCTCCCTGCGGGCGCTGCAGCGAGCGGGGCCCACGGCCTGGTACTCGTCCCCGAACTTCCTGCGCACGGCCGACATGCTGCGGGCCGCCGCGATGCTCCGCGGGCGCGGCGAGAACGCGGCGGGGCGGGAGGGGCGGCCGGACCCCGCCGCCTGCGCGCAGCAGCCGCCGCCGAGCGCGGCGCCGGTGCCCGGGGCACGGGGCGCACCCGGATGCCGGCGGAGCGGGGCTCGGGAGCCGCCAGCGCTGCCCGCTCGCCGGCAGCACCGGGGGAAGATGCGGAGCGGCCGCGGCCTGACGGGGCACACGCCGAGCGGCCGGAGGGGTGAGCCGGGCGCGCCAAGCCCCGGGGAGGGGACAACGGCGAGGGCGGCCGGCGCAGCCCCGAGAGCTCCGGCGGTCAGGGCGGCGGGGCCCGGAGGGAGCCGCTGCGGGCTGCGCACACCTCCGACCGCAGCCCGGCCGCCCTCCCGGCCGCGGGCAGGTTGGGGGCGGGAGGGAGGCGGCGCGTAGAGCGGCTCCGAGGGCGCATGAGCGGGGTGCGCACCGGGATGCGGGGACGCGAGTGTCGGGAGCCGCTCTGAGGCCTCCGGAGCGGCCTCCGGCCCCGCACAGGCCCGCACCCGCAGGTAAGGGCGGCCCGGCGGCAGCGCCGGTCCCGGGGCGCGGTGGCAGCGCCGGCAGAGGCGGCCCCATTGTTCGGCCGGGCGGGGTCGGGCCGGGCTCCCGGCGCCGCCTCCGAGGTGCGGGGCCCGGCGTGACCGGAGCCCGCGGCACCGCCGGGTCTGCCCGGCGGGCTCGGGCCGAGCGCGGGGACTCGGGGCCGTACCCGGCGGGGGCCCCGCGGAGGTGCGGCTGGGGCGGTGCTCGCCAAGCGCGGCCTCAGGGCTGGGAAGCAGGTCGGGAACGGAACGTGTGGCTGCTGATGTGCGGGAAGCCCGGGACGTAACTTCGCCCCGCGCTCGGTTGAGCCGTGAAGGGGTCCGGCCGCACAAGCCTCGGTGCCCGGGCTCGGTGGAGCGCACGAAGAACGCTCTCTCCGGGCTGGCAGAGCCCTGCCCGGGGTGCCGGTCCGGCCTCGCCCCGCTCCGCCCCGCCGGTGTCCGCCGGGCCCCCGCAGCGCCCAGCACGGGCCGTGCCCCCGAGGTGGGGCGGCGGAGGGAGAGCCCGGCCCCGCGGGGCCCAGCGGGAACGCTGTGCCCTCCTCTCCGTGCCTCGCTCAGCCGTGGGAGAAGCCGCTCTTTTAGTGCTGCGGTAGGTGCAGTACCCAGCGAAAGACTTGTCTCACTCAGAGTTGGACGCGAGGAGAAATCCTGTGTAATGGCCATCGGTACTCGGGCCCTGTTTCCTACAGGTGTATTGTCTGACCTTATCGCTGGGGTGATCTTCTCCCGGCAAGATGTTAAACTGCTTTCTGAAATGGGATCTGCTGCTTTGGATGATATTAATCTGGATTACAGAAGCTTTGTGTTGTATTAAGCTGTGAACCACAATAGGTTTATTTTCCAAGGTAATGGGGATATGCCAAATCACATTATGCTTCTGTTTAATCCCCTACTTTGACCCCATGTAGAGCGTCAGAGTGAGATTTCAACACTCAGTTCATTTGAAAACTCACTTAGGTTTTGATACCCAGTTGGACTAATTAATTGTATGGTAGAAAATACAGGGTGCAAAACAGAGGTGACTGTTGAGCTTAACATTTCAGTATGTTGTAGAGTAACTCAGGAATCTGGAAAATTCTGACTAGGTATATGCTAATTTGCCATGCAATACTGTGGTATTTTAAAAGGAAGCTATTTTAAAAAATGTTGAATTGGAAAACCATCAAACTTGCAATCAAAATATCAGAGATTTATCTGCGAGTAGAAACACAAGGAACATCCTTTATTGCATTTAGCAAAGAGTTGGAGTATCACACGTTCCTTTGTAATACTTTATGTGTGCTGCTATGGCAGTTTTTTTTAATGCAAATATTTGTCTGATGAATTTTTGTAAGCATGAAAAAGATTTTAAGTGCCTTGGAATACAGTGTTTCATCTTGGACTGATAATTATAAGCATAAATTCAGTTTTGCCTTTTTTAAAAACAATTGCTCTGGAGTCATTTGCTCTCAGTGACAAGAGAAATCTGCACTAAAAGCATCTAAAGCAATTTCTGAGCAATGGAGAAGTAGCCTTGCTTGTTGAAACATCCTTAGTAGCTGTGACCAGGGTTGATAGAGTGACAGTCTTATTATTAGCTTTAATGGAATTGTAGTATGGTGTTCATCAGAATTCCAGGGGGACATACATTCCTTTGAGATGTGCTTTTAGGAAGCCACAGAACATCTTGTGATGTGGCATCTTCCTGCCTGCTCTCTCTGTTTCTGCATCTGATGTTTATCAAGGCTTTTAAACATCCATTCTCTTCTGTCTTTCCAGACAGTTACTTAGACCTGTGAAAACTACCTCTCTAGAGGGATGCTCTCTTTAGCATCAGCCTTGTCTGAGATACCATATGGTTATTGTATAACCTGGTATTTTTCATTGTTTTACTTGTGTAGAAGAATAACTGCAGAACTCTGCTCTATTTAGGTTAAACTGAACACTTGAGGGAAAGATGTACTAGGAATTCACTATTTTTACCTACTTGCCATTTTTCTCACATGCTTGAGCTTAGGTGCTGTGTTTGCTCGTTTCAGGACTGCCTCTGAATCACAGTCCAGAAAGAAGAAACAATTGTGTTGATTGAAGCTGAACATTTGCCTCTAAGATTAAGAACAAAGCCATGCCAGTGCTTTCTGAAGACTCAGGTAACTAAGCTGCATGTTTTCAACAGAACAGTGACTGAAATCTTAGTGTTTCACACAGGAAATCAGTTCAAATTGGCAAGTTGTTCTAGAACACAGAATAATTAACATGAAGGGGAAACTTCATGTTAATGTAAGGTAATGTTTTTTTAAAAAATATATATTGCTTTGGTAGCTTTTGCCTTAACATGATAATTGTTATATCTTAAGCTGTGTTTGCCACTTATGAAGGGAGCATTGCAAAATGAGTGGTAGATAAACACAAGTCTCTGCAAACTTGATAATCACCAATGTGGTACCCAAGTAAGTGTAGTAGCTGTTGAGTCTGCAGGAGAAGGTCCCATGAGAAATGCTGTGTACAATGTTTTTGTTCTGTCCTGAATCTGAATTTAGGATTGCATGAAACTTTGGCCCTTTTGACATCTCAGCTAAGACCTGACTCAAATCATAAAGAGGAAATGGGATTCCTTAGGGATGTCTTCAGTGAAAGGAGTCTCAGCTACCTCATGAAGGTAAAAGTTTATTTAAGTATGTACATTTCCTTACAGTTTACTTATTCTCTGTATTTATCAACTTATTCTCTTGATTTATCAACCATTTACTTTGCCAAAACTGCTTTTTTTTTAAGAATTCCGTACCAACCAAAGTATGTGTGTTTAAGCACAAACATTAAGAACATTTGACAATTAACATATTTTGTTCAGGAAGAAACATCTCTGCTCTGATTGCTAAAATGAAGATACAGTGCCCTGTAACTAAAAAGTAGTCTGAGGTGGCTGCATTTTTTTTACTTACACTGCTAAAGTCCTTACAGATTTTCTGGCTGTCTGAAACTATCACGAGTAAAAAGAAAACTAGAAGACTCCTAAACAAAAAAAGTAACCCCAAGAGAGATTATTTTCCTGACACATCTCAGAAAAATTATATTCCTTAAATAGAAAAATATTCTGGTGTAGGTATATTTAGGAAGTTTTGAATCTTTCTGTAGAAATGTCTCTGAGTAATCTTTTTCAGATTCATGAAAAACTCCGTCATTATGAAAGGCAGAGTCCAACTCCTGTTTTACACAGTGCAGCAGGATTAGTTGAAGATGTAAGTCAAAAATTCCTGTCTCCTGCTTTTCCTGTTATTTAAGCCTGCTTTTCTAATACATCAGAGCTTTGCAATTGGATCTTGTTTGGTGGACTCCTTTAATTTTGGGCCTGCAAATTTTTATTTTGAAGGTAATAGAAGAGTTGCAGACTGCACCAGTGAATAATGAAGAAAAAGAGCTACTTCAGCTGCTGTCAACACCTCATCTCAGGGTAAAAAACCACACTGGGGACTTTAACAAAATCCCTTTGCACAATTGCAATGGAACATTTTGTAGCAGAAAAATTTTATTGAAGTGTCCCAAAGAGAAAGGAAAAACCTCTTGCAAACTGTAGTTCTGTTCCACTGTGATTTCCTGCCCAGGTTGTGGGATGCAAAGGGAATTGAGAAGACACAGCCTTTCCTGCATAATGCATCAGGCTGTCTTCCCTCTGTCCCCTCCTTAATATTTTCTGAGGGAGCAGAATAGAAAAGGAAACCTTTTTGCTTCTCATAGTCCACTCAGGTTTTTTTAGGCTGAGCTTTGTTGTTGCCTGGATTTATTATAAGTATGAACATATACCAGTATATAGTTTACCTGCTGGCTGATGTAGTTGTTGAATCTTTTTTGGAGGTTTTGTGGTGAGGGTGGAAAGGGGGAGATTTAAGTTTGCTGTAATATTGGAAACATGAGAACTGGGAGCTGTAATATTGCTGCATTACATTACTATTTTTTATTTCCTTTATGCAGGCAATGCTTGTAGTACATGACACTGTAGCACAGAAGAACTTTGATCCAGTCCTTCCACCTCTGCCTGATAACTTTGATGATGATTTTGATGAGGAATCAGTGAAAATTGTTCGGCTAGTGAAAAATAAAGAACCCTTGGTACATATTAGATAACCCATTCCTAGTCATAGAACTCTGTAGTTCAAAAGTGTTATTGTGAGTACAGAGGAGACACTTGAAGATGCTGTCAAATAACCAGCAAAAACTAGGAGAGTGTTCTGAAGCCAGTAAAGTAACATAAAAAGAAAACTTTGGTAAATTCACCTTCACAATTTTGCATTGGGATGCTTTATGGACATGGGTTTATAACACCAGTTAACCCAGGGAACACTGTCTCTGAGGAAATTGTATGTGTTGAAGTGATTATGCTTATTATATGTATTAATTCTTTTCATTCTAACATTCAGTGACTTAATATATTCAGTTGCATTAAAGTCAGTGACATGTGGTAAGAGTATGTTTTGATACCTGTGTGTGTAAACATTATATTGTCAAGGTACAAATGGAAGTGGATGAATTGATTTCCTAAGAAAAAACAGTTGTGTTGGGGAATAAATACACTTTTTGTATATGACAGTAGCAGAAGAGAGCAGTGACTTAATTCATGCTAAAGCTGATTAAAGCTTTATATTGCCAGCAGAGCTTGGGGAAGGGGAAAAAAAGATCTAATTATTTGGCTTTTGTTGCTTTTATATGTAAAAGTGCTGCCTGTATTGTATAAAGATTAGAAGACAAAGAGAAAGTTTGTTGTAACAAATCCTGTTTTGCACACTTGAGTGACTTGATGACCACAATAATGTAGGCAGTGTAAGCACTCAGCAAAGTCCACAGAAAGGAAGGGGTGTGTACCTTCCCCTAATGGGCAGGCAAAAGTTAAATAACAGTGAAAACTGTCAAGGAGAAAGAGAAAATCAACTGAAAAATTAATTCCAGTTTAAAAGATGAGGTAGTGCACATGTTATTTCACTGCTTGCTGTATTCTAAGCAAATTTCTTACAGTTTCTTGTTGGGGGGGTTGTTTTATTTCAGGGAGCCACCATCAGAAGAGATGAGCACACAGGAGCTGTGGTTGTGGCAAGGATCATGAGAGGTGGTGCAGCTGATCGCAGTGGTATGAGCAGTGGTAAATTTCTGAAGGAAAGGGGATTTTAAATTGCATTTGTAAACTTCTGGTTTCCTAAGCGTGCACTTGGCGTTTCTGTATTTCATCAGTAATCTATTAATCTACTTACATGGGGTTTTTTTCTGAAATGGCCGCTAGGAAAAAATGCAAACAAAGATAGAAGGAGTAGGCTCGAGCTCTAGAAGAAAGAAAAGAATGTTTTTTACTTTTAATTTTGGTTTATTCCGGTTGTTATGTGTTGTTTTCTGTGTGCTTTACTGAGAAATTCTTTTATGTTGGGTAACAGTAGCTATAATAAGTACAACATTTCTTACTGAACTGGATAAGCAAACCTAAAACTTGTAGAGTCTCTTCATGGCTTGTTAAAAAAAATGAGTCTAGCATTCTTTCTAGTGTTGATCTGTCGTGTCATTCCTGCCTTTACAGTCAGCAGTGTGTTTCCTGACTTTACAAGATTTTGATCACCCTCATGCAGCTATTCCAATTTTATATTCTTAATGCTGATGGAAATAGAGGCAGTGGTTTTCCAGAGCATCTTGCCACATGTTGTTTATCTGCATGCTGGTCTCCTTTAAGACTGTGCTGCATGAAAAAAAATGCCATGTGGAATAAGGGCAGGAGACTTGGAGGCACATTGCCAACAAAGGCAATAGTATTAAATCTATCAAGCTGGATGAGGGAGGAGAGCAGGTACATGCTAATGACTTAGGCTGGACATCAGAGGAGTGGTAGACCTATTTTAATTTATTTGCCATCTTTTCAGGTCTTGTCCATGTTGGAGATGAACTAAGAGAAGTCAATGGTATTACTGTGCTTCACAAACGACCGGAAGAAATAAGTCAGATTTTGGTCTGCACTGATTTTCATTTCAAGATCTTTTCTGTTGGGTGATCTAGTAATTACAATAGATGATAAAATTTAACCATGAGTTTTAAATATAGAGCTAAAAGATGCAATCCCTGCTTGTCTTTGCATTAAGAGTTTTTCTTCTCCCAGTGGATTAGTCTTCTCCTTTTGACTTCAGAAACTTCTGCGAACTGGATCGGTACCAAGTAAGATACAAATATAAAGTTAACATGTTGCTCTGTCAAGAACGTCCCTTTAGTGCTTTGTTTATGACAAGCAAATTGCAAATTATAAGTACATTCCTGTTTGTCTGTGTTTCCTTTTTAGTCTGTGCAGAATAGCAGGCTTCTCTGGGACACAGTTCATCTTATCCAAAATAAGGCATCTAAAATAGATCAGATAAACCTATTCTAGATTTCTGATGCATCCAGAAGTGCTTTTTAATTTACTATAACTAATAGTTGACATTTACTAGCAAAGATTTCTAGAATAAAAGTAGATGTTTGTTTTGTTGATGTTTAGTCTGCAAAAACTTAAGTTAGTCTCATACTAAAAGCCACAGAAGTATTTAACACCCTGTGAACTCTAGTCCAGAAATTAATGCAGTTGCTAAAAGCAAATGAAGGAATTTTAAGGCAGATCTTAATATGTTCTAGCCAAGTAGTTACTGTGGATGTCTCCATGGGTAAGACACTGTTGTGGAAGATTCATGGAACACCGTGATTGTCTCTGTAATGAAGTTAAAATAGTGGATTAGCTTGGCCTGTTACTGTTCTGAGAAGAAGAGACAGCTGCTAGCTCCTTAACTGGAGCTTGAATAGTCTGCACTGTATCCTTGTCCTGCTTTCAAAAGTAAAAATCATTTCTCTGTTTCTCAGGCTCAGTCTCAGGGGTCGATAACGTTAAAAATAATTCCAGCCATCAAAGAAGAAGATCGTCTAAAAGACAGCAAGGTACTGAAATGCTGAAGCACACATTTTCCTGTTGATACATTCTGGCATCTCTGTAAATGCAACATTCCTGCTGTGTCACTGAGAAGTGTCACAGACACAGAATTGAACTACAAAGCCAGTGGAGTGGTTTCTTGTGCAGTGCTCTTTTATTGAACAGAACTACTTGGATGAGTTTTCTCCTCTTCATCATCTTGGCACGTGTTCTGTCATAGCATTTCTGAAATCTAGTGTCTTCTTTTTTTGTTCATGTAGTTAAAATTGGTGTTCCTGCTAGTCTTCTCTTACCATCCCAGCTGCAGTCTGTCCATGATCTCTGGGCATTTTGCCATTCCCTTGAGTCAGATTAGCCCTATCTACTGCCAGAGCTGCATTCATCATGTGACCCCCCCATTAGCAAACTTCAACACACATCTCAAAGTGCTTTATCTGAAGCACTTGATCCACTTGATCATCTCCTTGAGAGGGAATCCCTGTTCAGCTGGTCCCTTACAAGATTCCTCTGTCAGCCTCTTTCTGCTTCCCTGCTCTTGGTTGCCAGATTTTTCTTTGAAGCCCACAGGTCACTTTTTAAAGTGATGTGTTGAGTAGTGTTAAGATACAAATCCAAAGGTGAATAGTAGATTTTGATGTATTAAAGGAACATTTTAGGGACAGTCTTCATAATTGGGCAACTTGACAGTAAATCCATTTTTATTGTTTTCTCCCCTTTTTTTTCCTCCATTTCTCTGTTGCATTTTCTACTTGATGTAGGCTGTGGTCTGTGTTTCTTGGGGCTTTGATCTTTTGAGTCTCATGTTCCACAATGCCAATATATAATGACTGTGTATGTGCTTGAAAGTTAAGCTTATTTTACTGCATGAGTGGTTAAGTCATAATACAGCTGTGCTCGAAGGAGAGATGAAGTGTATGTATAGTGTTAGCACTGGGGAAAGCCTTTTGAAGGCAGCTTGAAATTCCAAATAGGACAGGAAGAAATGATGTTTTACTTTCTTTTAAAGGTATTTATGAGGGCACTTTTCTGCTATAACCCCAAAGAAGACAAAGCCATCCCTTGCCAGGAGGCTGGGCTGCCATTTAAGAGGCGACACGTCCTAGAAGTTGTGAGCCAAGATGATCCCACATGGTGGCAAGCCAAGCGTGTTGGAGATACCAACCTCAGGGCAGGCTTGATCCCCTCCAAGCAGTTCCAAGAAAGGTTTGTCAGCAGAGCTGATAGATTTATTTTTTTTCACACATTGATTTTTATGCCTTTTTTTTTTTTTTTTTTGACAGAAAATGAAGGGCAGGGTCATGCCAGGATGAGTACAGATGCTTAGAGAAAAGCACTAAAATGCTCTATTCTCTTATAGAATAAACTTCCTAGTTTGCTTTGGATAGTTTGCTATTGACTTAACACTTTGTAGCATGAGAACAGAAACACTTGCTAAATGAACCTATGAAATGAGATGTGGAATATCAGTCTCTTAACCCTCTTGCCTTATGGAGAGACTGTATTTCACAGCCTTGTACATCCACAGTATGAGGGAAAATGTTGATTTATTGTAACTATTTTGAATTTATGCATGTAGTAATAGTAAAAAATGTATCTGATCTCTCTTCTGGCTCCTCAGGGAGTATTTAGCTTGGACTGGGATACCTTCTAGAGCTTGAAGCTTCTCTGCTTTCACAGCAAGATATGTGTATCTTCTCAAGCAAAAATACCCCTCAGTTCTTGTCTTTACAGTACAGAAGTCTGATATTTAAGTCTTATATTTAAGAAGGAATCTGATTTAAGCCAGTGGTCTCACTGTGTGATTCTTACTGCAAATCACTGGATGTGTTTTCTTTGAATTGTAGGTGTTACAGAGGTGGGGGGTCTGAGAATTAAAACAGGTCTGATTCTATTCTGGCCTCCACAATTTCCATGAGGTTTCTAGTGGAGGACTTGGCTCTGCTATATGAAAGCTCACAGTTTTAAAGAAAGCCCTTTAAATTGTTGAATCAGAGACATTTTAAATTTTAAAGGAAAAGCTCTGTTTTGTTCTTTATTTTCAATGCTAGGTGTATAACATGCTATAAACCCTCTGTAATTCTGAGCTGACACATCTAAAATACAGTTATTTTCTATTCAGACGACTGACTTACAGAAGAACAATAGGCACTCTGCAGAATGCCAGAACTCTGAAGAAACCATTATGTAAGTCTGTTCTGGTCTTTCAGTAATGTTTTGGTACTTAGTTTTCTTTTGCTACAAAGAGGAGGGAAGATGCTCAACCCAATTATAAAATAACATTGCTGATTTAAATGAAGCTTTTTCAAATTAGTTTCCATTACACTCACTGTAATGAGGATTGCTACTTAAGCCTTTTCTCAGATGTTCCCAAGACAGTTAAACTGATAACTGCTTAGAATACTAAATTGCAGCCCAGAAATCCTTTAATCAGTTGATAAGGGTTTATTACTTCAGTTGTGTTTTTTTTTTAAGATAGAAAAGCCTTTTAAGCAATCAGACCAGAAGAACCTTCCTTTCCATTCTCTCTAATTTTGCTCAATTATTTGTCTGTCTTTTAATATCATTCCAACTCTGCCTTTCATGCTAACTACAGATGATCAGTCCTCTGACAAAGGTAGGTCCTCTCCTACATCCAAAGTGTTTTCTAAAACACTTGCTACACCCTTAAACAAAGGGAAAAGTAGATGTATTGTTCCTAGGACAGTTTCTTTATGAATTATTATTTAAACTAATTTAATTCAGATTGATGACTCAAGTAATGATAACTTCCAAATTTGCTCTTGATTCAAGAGAAAAGATTTGTGTCTTCTGATACACGTTCTGTAGGTTTCTGAGTGAGCTTGAAAGAGTTAAATACAGTCTTTGTATCTGGCATGTTTAAAAAATAAAGAAATATTGGGGTTCAGCATTCTAGGGCACCTCTGTCAGTCCAAAGTGATTTGTCTTCATTGCTCATTTGGACTGTTTTCTGCATTATTTTCATTATAAGCAACTGTGGTGGGCTCATGCAGTTTATATGTCACTGTGCCTTTCCAAATATCAGGTATTTGGTGTTCAGCTCTGCATGCTGTAGTATTTTTCCACATTGCACATGCTTCTTGAGATTCATATTCCTGGTATCCCTCTCTGTGCCCTACCCCCAACCTCCTTGCTTTTTAATTTACAGAGGACTGTGACTGTGAAGGATATTTCAATGGACAGTACATAGGTGAGAAACCAAAATCCCTTTCCCCTTCCCCCTCACCCCCCCCAGCATAAAAACAAAACAAACAAAAGAACAAAAACCCACCCAAAAAACCCACCTCCCCATTAAAAAGTGAAAATTTGCCTATGTTGACTTTTAACCCCCAAAATTACCACAAAGTAACATCTAATTAATTTATAATATATTATATTAATATATAATATATATAACATATACAATATATAATATATATAATATATTATATATCTAACATATACAATATATAATATATATAATATATTATATATATAATGTATTATATATGAAATATAATATATATTAATGTATATTAATTAATTATTAATAAATATATGCTATATAATATATAGTTACATAATATATGTATTATACATATATAATATATAATATATTACATATTAACAATATAATATATTTTAATGTTAATTATATATATATTTATATATAAATGTAGTACATAAATACAAATAAAAATAAATATATAAATAAAATATAATAATATTATCTATTATGTATTATATGTTATATATTAATGGTTTGACATTAAAATGTGAATTTCCCATACATTCATAAACTAGATTATCTCTGTGAAGAGGCATAGTTGGACTTTGGCATAACCAACTGAAGGTGATATGAGAAGGTTTTTAATATAGTTTGGGTGCTTGGTTTTCTACATCATATGCAAATTCTCATCTATAATATTAGCAAATATGCACTGATTTGATTATTAAAAAAAAAATTGGTGGGAATAACTTGCATTCCAAGCCAGTAACTTGTAGCTGAACGAGCTGGAAAATGTGGATAAGTGGAGACACGTGTGAAAATCTCTTTTGCTTTCCTGCCCAGCTGGTTTACGCAGGAGCTTTCGATTAAGTCGAAAAGAGAAGGAGAACAGTGTGAATGAAGGCAAGCAAGCAGAGCAGGCTGATGCAGCAGAGTTCCTCACATATGAAGAAGTCACAAAGTATCAGCAGCAGCCTGGGGAACAGCAGAGGCTGGTGGTTTTGATTGGTAAGATGCACAACTGGTGCAAAATTCTTCATCTTTCTCCTTCTTCCCTTATCACCTGCACTGCAAAAGGCTTTCTTTCAGTGTTTTGTTTGGGTTTTTGGTGGGTCCTGGTGGGTTTTTTAAAAGGTTTTTTCTGGTTTTGGTCAGAGGTTGCTCTTTTATTTCAAATTACATTAAAAAACAAACCAACCAACTGAAAAAAAGCAATCAAACTCACCAAATCCTCCTAAAAATAATGATGCAGGACTATTTCTCATTTCTCTGATTCACCTTCCATTGATTCTCACTCAAACATGTACACTTAAGCTATTGGAACAATTGATGAAGAGGTAAATGTCAAAATTATCTAACAAGATCTTGCATGCAACTTTAATTCAGTAGGTTTATCAGCTTTGTGAGAAGCAAGTTTCCCAGGATGGCCTAGAAATCAAGGGTATCCCATAGAACTTGAGTGCTAAGATTACAGATTTTCTGACTTGGTGTCTGCCAAATGTTTGTCCCAACAGCTGCTCAAGGAATTCAGTTTGTTCCTGGTGATGTTCTCCAAAGTAGAATCTGATGGAGCAGGTCATGAGGCCTCTCATGGACAGGTTTCTTCAGGCACATTCCCAAATCATCTTTTTTGTGTGAAGCTGATACATTTATTCCCTGCAGTATTCCATGCCACACAGAAATCAATCAATCAGTTTTATTTTATTAGGTTGCTTGGGGGCCAAATTAAGTGAGCTCAAGCAGAAGGTTGTGTCAGAGAACCCACAGGAGTATGGGGTTGCAGTTCCACGTGAGTAAAATTTACTAACTTGTGTGTGTTTATTTATTCCTTAAATGCTGTCTAATAAATATAGTGCCAGCTGCACTGATGAATGATAATTTGTGTTCTGACTGTTGCATGTTTTAGGAGGAGTTAAAATTATTTTTCTCATTGTAATATATTATATTTGCCCTTAATAGATGAATAAATCATTATGTAACTTTACACGTGTGCATTTTGGAATTCTGCCAGATCAGTGGGGTGTTTTTTTGAATTGTGTTTTCCCAAGTGAACAGATTGCATTTTCTCAGTGTCTGTAAAAAACAGACTGTGGCTCGCAGAAAGAGCTGGTGTGAAAAACTAGTATGTTAAGAAAACATTGTTTGCAAAGGCTGATATGTCTCCCATGTCTTGCTTCCATTCTCTTCTAGATACAACCAGGTCAAAGAAAAGTCATGAGAAGGAGGGAGTAGAATACAATTTTGTGTCTAAGCAATCATTCGAGACAGACGTGCAGCAAAACAAGTGAGTTAATTTTAAAACACTGGTACAATTGACTATTTAAAAATATACCTCCTTCAGTCTTGCATGATGTGGACACCAAAATGGGATGTCAGGTTGGAGTAGCTGTGTTAGAAGGGTTCTGCTTTCCAAGTCAAAAGCTCTTGATTCCATCTGGACTGTCAGAGCAAACTCAAAGATTTAGTAAGAAGCAAATCAGGAATAACACAAGACTAGGAGGAGGGTCCTAAGTTTGAATTTAAACCTGCATATCATAAGTGTTGTGATTGGTCAGAACTGAATCTAGTGAGAGTAACAGATACTGATTCTGCATTTAGTGTGATGGGTAGCAAGTTTTATTCACAAGCCTGCTTTAAAGTGTATGATAGAGTGAATCTGTGGCTACAAAGGACTTCTTGGGAGATTGTGTTTCCTCAGAGTTTTGACGAGTCTTCCAAAAGATGGAAGGATTGCAGTCCCATTTCCTGACTAGCTTTATTCTATTTTCTGTGAAAAACATCTTTTCTTCTTCCCCATTTTGTCAGTAGTGCTGATTAGCTGTTAGTGACATGGGAAGAAGACTATTGCTACAAAGCAACCAGAAAGAAAAAAAAAAAGAGAGAGAAAAAGAAATCCTTTCCTACCTGTCCCTGATTTTCTGCCTTTCTCCTCCTCATTTGACTACTGTGACTTCAGCAAACAGCTGTCAAATGTTCTAAGTTAAATATTCTTTGGAGATGGTATTTAAAAATGTATTGACTTTTTAGATTTGTGGAACATGGAGAATACAAAGAAAATTTATATGGTACAAGCCTGGAGGCAATCCGGTCTGTGATGGCCAAGAAGAAGGTTTGTTTGGTGGATGTGGTACCTGAAGTAAGTTCTGCATCTTATTTTAAAGAATGCAAATATTGCTTATTATGCTGCCAGCCTAAGTCACTGGTGTTGTTCACCAGTTGTGGCTGCTTACCCTCCAGAGAACAATGAACTTGTGTCTCCTGGCCTGGCCTCCAGCTAAGCAGTGCAGTGGTGACAGTTCCTGGATGTCCTGTTAATACAGCCTGGATGTCACTTTAGTGGCTCTCACTGTGGGACTTTTCCCTTGCTGGAGGGGTCATGTGCATCACTGGCCTCACCTGCTCAAGTCCTACACAGAATATTTGGAGCATTGTTGTTTTTTCCACTCTAGTTTCTCTTGCCTCTGAAGCACATTACTAATCATCCTAAGCAGTGCCAGTAGACCTGGTCTTAATTCCTCCATGCTGTGAGTTAATCTTTGAAATTTTGATTCAGATCTTGTAACTGGGCTAGGAGAAGACTTGTAATACTACCTCAGGTGAATTCCAGGTTTAAAATTTCTGGTGTTTGACCACTTGAGCAAAGCAAACCATAACTTGCCCATGAAGTCAATTTTTTTTTTCTACTTTCCCCAGTATTTTTTGCCAGGTCCTTTCTCCTTGGTATCACAGTGCATAGTAAGGCAGGTGTGTAGTTAAGGCCATGCTCCAAATACTCTTGTACTCCAGCCAGGACACTGACATGAACCTTTCTTTTGAAGACCAAAAGATTACTGAGGTCAAATGTATAGCACACAGGACTTCACACCACAGGGTGTCAGTGTGTACTGGTGAAACTGTTGAAAGGAATTTGAGTAGATCATTGACATACCACAAAAGAAGTATGATAACAAAAAAAACATCTGTTCACAGGCAGTAAAGCATTTGAGGACTCCTGAGTTTAAGCCTTATGTCATCTTTGTGAAGCCTCTTATTTCAGAAAAGAAAAAACACGTCCTAAAATCTCCCATGTCAGAAGAAATCTCAGCCCCCCTGGTAAGTATTCTAACTTTTAATCTTCTTTTTACACATGAAAGAAGTATTTGGGCTAGCACTTCTATGACATGAAAGAGCTCCTCTTCCATGACAGCAAGAATGTCAGAGTGGGGCTCTAAGAAGGTCTTGTGCACATATTGCCTTTCAGCTGGAACTTCAGAATGTGATTTTTGACTCTTTATATACTCAAGTTTTAAAGTAACATGAAGCCACGTGCTGCTCTTCCATGTGGACCTGTGTAATCATCGAGGCTGCAGGAGGGGAAGTTGCTACTGAGCTCAGATAAACTGATAATCATTTTACATTCCTGATGAGCAGTCCCATCAAATGGTAACAGTAGTCACTCCAAAGTGACACCCACTCTGGTGTTAATTGGGTACACACAAAATGCAGTATGTGCATGTCTTACAAGGATCAGCTGCAAACTGGTGATGGGTAAATCTGAACAGATTTTACAGTATTACTTTGGGTAACCTGAACTTGAATTTATACACTACAGAACTTTAGTTCACTTGGTAAGTTCTTGTGTAAGCCCTCAAAATTACTGAACTTGGGGCCAGTGGATCCAGCACTCCCTTTCAGCTTTTGAGGAGTGTGATTTCCAGATCTTAGGGTTAGGCAGCAACTCTAAATGCAGTGTCACCATCTTATGCCCCTCCTGTGACATGTTTTTTTTTCCCCACTCCATAAGACCTCTTGCATTTTTTTGAAACAGCCCCTTAATCTCAGTTGCAGTACCTTACACACCTTTTCCTAATGGCTTTTGTTTCACTGTCTTTCAAAGTAATGACCTGTGTGTGCTAATATACTTTAAAATGCTAGTAATTAAAAAGACATGCTGTAATTTCATACCATCATCTTGTGTTGACCAGCAGGATGAAGAACAGCAGGAAATTCTTAATTCAGCAGCATTCATTGAAGAGCAGTATGGCCATTTAATTGACACTGTACTGGTGAAAGAAGATCTCCAGAGTGCATGTAATCAGCTGAAAACCGTGTTAGAGAAGCTAAACAAGGATTCATTTTGGGTGCCAGTCAACTGGGTGAGGTCATAGCTTGTTACCATGTTTTAGGGAAAGATTGTATAAAAATGTCTTGTAAATGAGTGAATTAGAAAAGGGAAATATGTCAAATTCACTTCAAAACTGCTGGTCTGTCTAAAAGGCAATATATAAAGACTGTATGAGGAAGAACTAACAAAGTTAAAAGCTGACACTGCCTCCCTGAATCAAAATTTTGAATAGCAGCTGTCATTTAAAAGTGAATACTCAGACTAAACCAGTCAGTCCAATCTTTTACTGATCTTTAGGCTGTAAATAGTGTATTTTGTACAGTGAGGTTTCACAGAGGGTCCCACACTTCTAAAGCATTTTAGTGCTGAGACACTGACTGACCAGGTGGAATTTTTGTCCTTTGGCCACAACTCTAGCCACAAAATTAGAATAAGGTAGTCTTTGGGAACAAGCTACTTCTTCTGCCCTCTTTCCCAGTCTCTTCCTACTGACACAGGACAAATTTTAAACAACCCATGAGTGCACCTGTATGATGAGCCAGCTGATAAAACAGACACTTTTTTTAGTCTATGTGAAAGTAACTGCACGTGGTTCTAAAATACAACATTTAAGCAGCCTGTTTTCTACAAGACACCTTTGGAAGTGCTACCTGATGGGATACACTCTTGACACCAATGTAGCAACTCCTAAAAGGAGGAGGCTGAAGGACAAAGTAGCTGAGCTACAGGTGGAAATCATCATCCCTGCAGCATTTATGGCTGCCTTTGCTCCAAATCTGGCAAAGGCTTCCAGAGCATCTAGTTGGCCTGAAGAAATCTTAACTGTTAGAAGACCTTGTATATATATTTCAGGAGACTTGAATATACAATATTATTAGATAGGTCTTAATGAGAAAATGCAGAGATGATTCTGGAAGTACCTGTGCTCTGTAATTATTTGGGGGGTGGAGGGACAGTATTGTACAGGTGCATGTTAGCTGTAACTAGTTCCTGGTTTTGCTTGCCTGCTGTGCTCTAATATTTCCTGTGTACTGTGCTCTTTAAACAAGACCTTTTGGTGCACCACTCTTGTTCCTTGCATCTTGACAGTCTGATGTTATTCTTGTTCCATGACATTTAGCAGAACTAAACAATGCATATTAAAAGCACATTTACATACCAGTGTCACTGAATCTACATCACCTCTAGCTCAAGAAGTTGTATGGAACAGCTACACATATCCACCTTCTCCAAATGTATACCATGTAATGTTTAAATAAGTGTAATATTTTAAAAACTGTTTCAGTAACAGCATTTCAAATTATGAAGTGAGCAGATTAATCTTACCCTAGATCTATATTGCAGGTTACAAGCAGGTTTTTATAGTTTGCAAGACACAAACATGTTCAGAAGATACAGATTTAATTTAAAGAAAACTAAGGGTCAGAATTTATTTAAAGCAAGGTTGCCATCTTAACATCTTAAAATATTTTGAATGACTAGCAGTAAATAAAGCTGTATGTTTGTTTTATGGTCAAACATAGCCTAATAGTAGAAACTATTTGCATTAAGAGAAGCAAGGCAAGTTACATACAAGGTCCACCTTAAGTTACAATAACTAAAAACTTAAAATACCAAGATAGGTGTAAAAGGTAAGAAGATAAATTCATAATGGGATTGGCAACAGAACTTCTTCCATAGCCAGCACATTTTCTATTAAATTTAGTTGGAGCCCTGCAGTTGCTGAGTGAGGACAGGAATGTGAGTTTGCAGAGAACCACACTGGCTGCAAAAAGGACCCCCAGTCCAAAAGGATGGCTCCATTTCACCCCTGATCCCAGGTACAAAGTATTTAAGAGCAGCATAGGGTAACCTATTAGGTACTGTAGGAATAATGCACTGCACAGGAAGTGGGGGATTTTCCTGCCAAATGTTAATAGATACACATCTTCATGACAACCCTAAAATTAAGGAGTAAGTCAGCTCACTGTCTGGGGACAGGTAGCAATTCTGACTTTTTTAAATCAGCAAACTATGTCCACTGCTCAGGGTAACTCCTGACTGTTAACTACATTTAAGGGAACTTGGGTGCCTAAAACTCCCATGCCATGCCAGGGAAGAGAAGTTTTTCAGCATTCCAAACTGGAATACTCCCTTATTTCTGCTAAGGCAGGAATTCCAGAAAAAGTCCACGTTGACTGCCATACAGCAAGAGCACAACACTCTAAGCAGCACTCTCATTGAATACTGAAAAAATCTCAGAGTTACCAGAAAAATATCTGCAGATAGCAGTTGTGCATCAGGGAAGGAGAAATTGGATTTTGTTAATGAACACAAATGTATTTTGCTACCCAGTTTGTGTTTTGGAGCTGCACAGCTGGTGGCAGGTCAAACATGGCACAGATTAGTGCTTGGAAACCCCCCCCCCCCCCCTTTTTTTTTTCCAGGTCCCCTCCATTCAGGCAGAACAGCCACCTGTAGATTTAAGAAAGTGGACAGTATGTACCACATGAACTTTTATGCTGCTGTGCTGAAGATTCCATTAGCTGGACTCCCCGTTTCTCTGTGCTTTTATCCCAAAGACTTGGGGTCTGCAGGATCTTTCTGACTAGTTCCTCAAAGGCATGTTGCACTCCATCCTGTGTCTTGGCACTGGTCTCTGGTGGAGGGGGGAAAAAATATTTTACCTTATGTGCAGGGAGTATATTTCCACTCTGTAAAAAAGTTATTTTGGGACCAGCGAGCTGATGTGATTTTTTTTTTTAATGAGCCAATTTCCTCTCCATTATCTCTTAAAGGTACACTTAAGCTGAATAGGGTAAACAGAAATGCATTCTCCTAGTTTCCAGAGAATATAAAATTCATGCCTATATAGTATATGCAGTAAATTGTTTCAGAGAAAAGTGCTTCTAGTTGCAGTCAAGGCAGAGCACCCAAAAAGTTGGAGCCTACATCCATCCATATGAACTAATGCAGCAAAAGGAACCCCCATAAACAGGTGCTAAAAAAAAAGGCAGATCAACCCATCAACCTGAAATACAATTGTACACTTCGTTCATGCTTAGCAATCCCAAGATAAACACAGAAATAGAGGAGGTTTTGTCACAGAGGTGCATACCTATAAAAAGCAGTGAACGTTTCCTAGCAAACTGGAGTCCTTCTTTCCTCTCTACTTCACGATCAGGCTGCAGAGACAAATGAAGAACATGGCTAAAAGAAGCTACACTTGCCCCTTTTAGGAAGTACCTGGAAAAGCACCACTGCAGAAGCGAGGTTTTGTTGAAAAGAAAAAAGAATGTCTGCAATGTGTAGTAATCAAGCAGATTTTCCCACACTACAGGCAGCTTACTGCTAGGCCAGCTCTTACAGGGTCAAATTGAACAGTAGCAACATCAAATCAGGATCTCTTTGAGTTGGAAGGGACCCACTAGGATCATCCATGTCCAACTCCTGGCCCTGCACAGGACAGCTCCAGGAATCACACCATGTGCCACATCAGTAGGAAATGACCGTGTTGCCGTGTTCTGAATCAACCAGGAGCAAGGGACACCTCCAGAAAGGAGATCTCAGTAGGCAAGTAGCCAAAAAGGTTCTGAAACTGGGCAGATTTGGAAGGGGGCAGAAGAGAACCTAATTCAGGATAGTCACACTGAAAACCTCTTGTAAAGCAAGAGTGAAGCATCTCACCATGCAACAGGCACCTAAATATGTCAGAACACCCCAGAAACAAACAGCAACCAGTGCACCTCACAGCCACATTAAAATCTTTAACAATACCTGCTTTTATAATGATGTCATAAGTGGAGCCTGCCCATCTCAGTTACAGAGCATATCACCTCCTCACACAACAGATGTGTCACTGCATTTTATCTCACATTTATACTCTATCAGGAGTAAGCAATCTGGGGAATAATGTAAAAGGATTCATTCCTAAACTGACCTTATCAGTTTTATTGCCAACCAACATCTTCACAGTGTTGCTTTTGGAGGTATAGATTTCCAGCTCCTTCAGCCAGCTTTCTAGTCCTGTGAAAGTGTCTTTTCTTGTAACATCGTACACTGATGACAGAGGAAAAGATGCTTAACAGCTGTAAAGTCTTGAACAATGTTCACTTAGAACTTAGTCCACACTACCTAACTACTGCCCTGAAAAAAAAACCAGTATTAGGGAATTACAGAAAGAAACATAAACCATATCCTCTTCCCAGAGCTGGAACACCCCTGCTGTGCTCACCCAAAGTCACTATGGGTTCCAGAACACAAGCACCTCAGTGAGTGAAAATCAGACTTACCCATGAAATCTTCTGCCTATTGGTAGTTCTGCATTGGGCCATGCAGAATATTTTAAAATAGGTGTTTTGTCACCTCATTTCATGTGTAACTACATGCATGTGCTGCTGCTAAAAACATGGACTGAGTAAAAAACAACTTTTGGGCACTGGTAACTTCTTAACTGCATTCATGTAAACGACTGAGGGTTAAAAAGCTGAATCACAGTCAGAATATTTTGTACAGCAAGGTGTTCAGCCTTCACAAACCCTGAAATCAGGAGTCCTTTTGTTTTCTAATTGCTGTTGTCACACAGAAAGGGCCTGGCCATCCATTACCTGTGTACAAACCTCAAGTCAGCATAATCAAATCAATAGTTTCTGGGGGGGAAAAAAAGTAAAAACGTCATGGGGAAGAGAACACAACACAACCCCCAGTTTGCCTTATTACCAGAAGATCACTGAAGTAATAACTACAAAGCTAATAATTCATCCACTCAACACCTTACAGTGTGACATCTCTGGTTTTTTAATTTAAAATATTTTTAAGCAGTGCTACTTCCTGCCAGTGGTTTTGTGTTTGAGCAGTAACGAGCAGTAAAAATGTTGCAAAAAACATATAAGCATTCCTCCGATTCTCTCAGATAACCTCCTTTTGTAAGGGCATGCACATTTAGGAGTAAACAAAGACCACAATTTTTGTAATCATGTTTTTTTTTCTTCCATATGCTTCGTACCTAAAACAACCCCTTGAGCTCCTCGGTAATAACTGGGAGTCAGTGTCCTAAAGCGCTCCTGTCCTGCCGTGTCCTACAGTGGGGATGGGGGGGGAAGAAACCAAACACACAAAATCAAATACATTCAGAACAAAAAAAAAAAGCATTTTAAACTACACAAGATGAGCAAATTTAAAATTTTCCTGACCACTAAGGATACATGGAACTGTAAGAGGTGAGAATGAGCAAAGCTGTCAGGAAACATTGGCAGCAGCAACAGAAAATGGTTAAGGAGGGGTAGAAAAGCATGGAGAGGATTTGATTGAAGGTTAAAGCAATAAGCAGACACCTGAAACATGAGTGAGACAATAAGAAAGTCAAAGGGACTCTAGAGAAATTCATAAAAGGCAAGCAGCCATGCAGTTAGGCTTGATCAGTTAAAAACCAGCTGAAGTGAATGAGGGGAGGAGTAACAGGTTTTCTAGTGAGAAACACTGCAGGAAAGGAGACACAGTAATTCCAAATATCTCCCTTTGCTCCTCCACACCACAGGGAAGAAGAATCCAGCTAGAAAGAACTACTTCAAGACTGCTATGAATCTAAGCAGATAAGAAATTTAAAATCAGTAGTTTCACTTAATCGTTACTGCACTATGTCACACTTACTCTCTCGAATAAGTGAGCTACTAAGTGCAATATGAAACTCAAAAAAACCCTCAGAACAAACAATAAGGAGGGGGAAAAAAATCACACAAATATGATTTTTTTAAAAAAATTTTATTTACTTTTAGGTACAGTTTACAATTGATAGACTAACACCTATATTGGAATTTATTTATTTTTTGTTAAAAAAAAAAAAAAAACAACTAAAGTTGGCAATATATTTACTTCATTCAAATTATTGCTGCTAAAGAGATTATAATCTTAGGCTTCTACACACACATGGACACTAAAGCAGAAGCCTCTTTTTGACTTCAACACACTGTTTATGCATTAAAGTTTTTATTTAACACTGTACAACCGGACTGGTGTGTCATTGTCCCCCTCCCAGCCCAAAGCACGTTTGTGCTCTGCTTCCAACAGTCTCAATTTCTTAATTAATAATGGTGTTTTCTTTCTCAAATACCTGTGGCCAGACACATAAAATCTCTCCTTTCTGGAGCTCTTTCATTCCACTTAGAAGAATAAATGTGGTGCTTTATATTATAAATAATCCGGACCCCACAGCTGCAGTTTGATTTCACAGTTTGCAGATGCTGGAAATACAGCATCAGGAAGTTAAGAACAAACACTCAAGTCTTGCAGTAAATCTGAACCAACTTTTAAATAGTTCAAGACCAAGTATACTTTTGTGCATGATTTTAACCAAAATAAAGCCTCTGGACCGTTTCTGGTGTAGCATACACAGAATAGCTGCACAACCCCTACAGGAGATCACCCAACTCATCCCCCAGAACATCACTTTTCTGCAGTTTACTCAACTTGCATCCTAGGTGTGCTTCTGGGTCATAGAACCCTCCCATCCCATCTCAAAGGCTGCACAGAGCCTTTGAGAGACCCAGTTCTGTAACTGCAGGAAAGAGCAGCCAAAGTCTCTACTAGAGTTGAAAGAAGTCCCGAACCTTGACCAATGAAACTTTTAGAAAAGTTTTGAAAGGACATTGTCCGCAACTACTGCTGTAAGATCATGAGAGACATTCTTCATGCATTGCATCATAAATATAAAATCTCGACATGCAGAAGACTTGAGCAAGGGAGGAGGAGGAAGAAAGGGGGCAGGGGGAAAAGAAAAACACAGAAAGCAGCTTTGCAAGTCTGTCGAGAACAAACCTATCCCTACCTGTCTGGAAGAAGACCTACCCATATGGCAAGCTGTACTGCACGGCCGTCCACCACCATCTTCTTCACTCTAAAATCAACACCTGAGACGTAAGAAGGGAAGGCTTAGAAGGAGCTGTCTCAGCCGCCTCCCGCGTTCACACGACCCCGGCTCCCCAACCCTTCCTCTCGCCAGTGGCACCCCAACAGGAACGTCCCCGGCACCCCAACAAGAACATCCCCGGCACCCCAACAGGAACGTCCCCGGCACCCCAACAGGAACGTCCCCGGCACCCCAACAGGAACGTCCCCGGCACCCCAACAGGAACGTCCCCGGCATCCCAACAGGAACGTCCCCGGCATCCCAACACGAACGTCCCCGGCATCCCAACACGAACGTCCCCGGCTCGCGGCCGGGCGGACTCCGCACTCACCGATGGTGGGTTTCAGGCTCGGCTCAAACGCGCCGTCCGTGAATCTCCGCAGGAGGCTGCGGGGGAGAAAGAAACCGCGAGTTCAGCCCAGCTCAGCCCAGCCCAGCTCAGCCCAGCTCAGCTCAGCTCAGCTCAGCTCAGCCCAGCTCAGACCAGCTCAGCTCAGCCCAGCTCAGACCAGCTCAGCTCAGCTCAGCCCAGCTCAGCTCAGCCCAGCTCAGCTCAGCTCAGCTCAGCCCAGCTCAGCTCAGCCCAGCTCAGCCCAGCTCAGCTCAGCCCAGCTCAGACCAGCTCAGCTCAGCCCAGCTCAGACCAGCTCAGCTCAGCTCAGCCCAGCTCAGCTCAGCTCAGCCCAGCTCAGCTCAGCTCAGCCCAGCTCAGCTCAGCCCAGCTCAGCCCAGCTCAGCTCAGCCCAGCTCAGCCCAGCTCAGACCAGCTCAGCTCAGCCCAGCTCAGCTCAGCCCAGCTCAGCCGCGCTCAGCTCAGCTCAGCTCGGGGGCAACCGCGGGGGCAGCACCTGGACTTGCCCACGGCGCTGTCTCCGACCAGCAGCAGCTTCAGGGTGAGGCCTGCGGGGTCCATCCCCAGCACCGCACGGGGCCGGGGCCGGGGCCGGGGCCGAGGCCGGGTTCAGGTCGGGGTCGGAGCCGCCGCCGTCGGGCGCCCTCAGGGCCCCGTCCCGGCCCCGGCAGCAGCTGCCGCGGCCCCGCCCATGAGGCGGTGGCTGGTGCCGGGCGGGGCGGGAGCGGGCCCGGCTGGAGCCTCTGCGCCAAGGGGGCCTCTGGCTGGCGGCGGAGGAGGCTCGGCCATGGCCGAGTACCAGATCTCGGTGGAGGAGCTGAACGACCTCCTGGCCAACGGCAGCGGCTGCTACAGCCTGCCCAGCGCGCACAGCAACGAGGTGGTGCCGCGCATCCACGTGGGGAACGCGTGAGTGCGCCGGGCCGGGGCCCGGGCGGGCGGCTCGGCAGGGGCGAGGCCGGGCCCGTGTCGGGCGGGGCCGGGCCGGGAAGGGCGCTTTGAGCCGGGGCCGGTTCCAGGCTGCGGGGTGGGATCTGCTGGATCTCTGCGGGGCCTTCCGCGGCCTGCCCCGGGCCGTGCGGCCGCGGGTCGCCAGCCCAGGCAGCCTCAGTCCTCCTGTCCAGCCCAGCCTGTCCGCTGTCTGGGGCTCCTCCTGGTGACTGACACAGCAAACGTTAGGACTGCTCATAAATGGCATCTCCTACAGTGTTCGGCACCCTGTTGAATTCCCAAATCCCGTTTGGTAAAAACGTCCTGGTTATGAATGCCCAACCTTAGTTTTCCTGTCTGCTTTAATGTGTGTGGGTAACTTGTTCTTTGTTCTTAATGTGCTAGAACTGCAGCTGTGTTGTAAGGAGTATGGAAGGCCTTCTCCCGAAATTAATATTAAATTTAGTGACTGTAAGGGAAGTGTTGCTGAGGAAACAATTTTGCATGAACATAACAGTGTAAAACAAAATATGTTAATATGCTGGCATTTTTGCCATTAAAGACTTGGTCTGTTTGGTTATAATCCCATATGGCATTGGTTTATAGCTTCATGTTCCCTTAATTGCTGATGAATAGTTCTCCAAGACTTGTGTTTCGTGCCTGGTAAAATAATTCATCTCTGTTCAAAAGAAACACCTCTTACTAGTGTTACTCGTGGGATGAGGAACTCTAAATCTTCCATGTTGAGAATGGACAAGATTCTGTGATTTTTTTTCAGGAACCAGATGAAGCTGATGTTAGCATCTCTCAGCTATTTGGAGAAGCTAGCATTTCAACATTGAACATGATGCAGCTGGAATGAAATGTTAAGGATGAGAGAGATCCAAGGACTGTTTGGAAAGGGAGAAACAAATGGCATACAAATACAGTCTTTTTCACCTCTAGCTGTGTAAGAAAATAATCTATAAAATCTGCAAAAATCATTCACTGGGAATGAGTTTGCCTCCAGGGGGGGCAGTCTGTGTTGCCAGATTCTTCCATGATTCCAGGATTGAAGTTCCTATTGATCCTGACGACTATCAGAAACATGCTGATCTATATAATATTAATTAAACCATGTACTCACCCTAGTAAGTGTAGAAACTCCCAGTTGAATTAACACTTTTTGGTTCGGCCTTGCACTGTAGGATTTTTGTGTTGCAAGCAGAATTCCCCAGACACTGATACTTGTACCATGGCACAGATGATGTCCTGCCAGATGGAAAATCTGTCAACATTTGTTTGGGTAATGAAGTCTTACAAATATTTGGCTCATTGCCATAGTTGCTTGGCACAGACAGCAGAAAATGTAGAAGCTTCACTCATGCATCAGGATTCATCTGCTTACACTGAAATTTAAGGGGTGAAGAGTCATCAGGAGCAAAGGAACACTCAAGATGTTCTCATAGCCTTGAATTACATGAAAATTATGAGTGAATGCACTCAGAGATTCGTGTAGCTATAAACCAACTAATTTGGGTATTTATTTTAAAATTTCAGAATACCTACGTGTCCAGCCAAAAGCCTTAGGTGCATTGCCATCTCACAGAAACTTGTCCAAAATAATACTGCATAAAGGCTTGTCTGGAGTTCAGCTTAATATTAAGACTCGTATTTGCAGTTTATGACTTGAGCTGTAGGAAGATTTTCCAGAATACTTCTGTTTCTGCATCCAGTAGACACATATTGAAAGCTGCTTTTATAAACAGTAAAGGTATTTATGTCTTTCTAGCCTACCTCTCTCACAAAGTGTGTAAGAACTGAGTTATCTTTCAGCCAAAGCCTTCTGTCACATTCTGCTAATGTCGACCAGTGGGCTTAGATTTTACTGGGAGACTACACAATGTGATAAAAAATATGTGTTGGGTTTTTTTCTTCCCAGGAATGGGAGGCAAATATTGTGACTGACATATGGAAATAACCAAATTCAAAATGAAAAGTAGTAGGTTTTGTGACAAAAAGGAGTCAGTGGTCTCCTCATATTATTTTAATGGTTATCTCCTCTTACTGTAGATTGCATTCCAGGGCACGAGTAGAGATTTGTGCATGGTCAGTTGTGTTACTGAGCAGATGGATTTGTTTGCCATTGTACAACCTGGAGCTTTTATCAGAGCTTATGGCATTAATTGGACCTAATTAATTGTCATCATCAACCCTGAAAGGCATGATTATTATGTAGCATTCTGCTCAATTGTTCACTAATAGGGTAGGTCACTCTTTTAGCCACCTTTAAATGGAAGCTGGTGGGTTTGCTACAATTATTTGGAAAACCTGAGGAGTTAGAAAGGGCTTAGCTGACCTAAAAGTAAGCATCTTAAACATCACTCATCTAGATTCTTGTACATTCAGATACTGATTTCAGCTAAGACACTAAACATTGTAATATTTGTGATGAAAACATTGAGTGTCAAAGACTGAATTATATCACCATGTTACTGGCCTTTGGATAGCCTTGCTAGATCTTTGCATGACTTCAAAGGTGTTGAATAGCACAGGGGCACAGGACTACCCTGACCTTTGAAGGTGCAGTAACATTTACTCACAGTTACCTTCTATCTTCCTGTGGCCTGAGAGGATCTAGTGCTATTTCACTGTGCTTAAAACTGCCCCCTAAAATGTCATTTTGTCTGGACTGTCTGCCAGTGTAGCAAGTACTGCTTACCAAGTTCTGCAACGCTGGTAGCTGAGAATAGAGGCCTTTTATAACTGGGTTTTAAATTATCTTATGTGAGTGAGTTTTAAATTATCTTATGTGAGTGGGTTTTAAATTATCTTACGTGGGTAACGCTTAATCCTAGAAGTTAGTATCCTGGGCTTCGTGTTATCATCTCCAGTATTTTCTCGCTTTGGTGAGAATTTTATGTTCAGAAAGTTACAATTTTATGCTGCAGTAGGATCTAGCAGATTAAGTTTCGTGTGTGCTCTCCTCAGTTGTCAGCCAAGAAAGCAGTGTTCTCTCGTGCACGAGTAGCGACCGTGGCTCTAAATATTTTTGGTAATTTTTAATCTGCAGCTCATTCACTTCTGGGCACAATGTATTTGATATCTGTTAACGGAAAAAGCATCATAAATACTGAGATGATTTGCCAAATTCTAATGGTTTTCCTTGACGCTTTTTGTCACACAGGTTCATAGCCAAGAACATCATGAGGCTGCAGCGTCTGGGGATAACCCACGTTCTGAATGCAGCAGAGGGGAAATCATTCATGCATGTGAACACTAATGCAGAGTTCTATGAAGGCACAGGCATCAGATACCATGGCATTAAAGCTAACGACACACAGGAATTTAACCTCAGTCGCTATTTTGAGGAGGCAGCTGATTTTATTGAGAAAGCACTTGCCCAGAAGGATGGTAAGGCAAACTGAAATATCTTTCTGCCCTGTTTTCTGTGCACTGCATGTGTTTCTTAGCAATTCGCTGTTTAAAATGGTTCTTTGCTCAGATTATCAGCAGAACAGCCATTGGCAAGAGTTCAGATCAAGGCCCTGGATCAAAGACACAAGGATACAGAAAAAGACAACTTAGTCTTCTGTTCATACATGTAGGTCTCCAGTATGTGGCAAAGGGAAGTCTGTCTCTGTAGGGGTGACTTTGAAAAGGTGAACAGCTGCTGCAGCTTATAATAATGCCTATCTGGGAAAATATGTTTTTATTTTTCCTTAGAAGTGTTAAATTACGTGAAAAATAATTTTAAAAAGTAAGTTCAGTGTCTAAAAGTTGGTTTAGGACACTAGATCTTAAAATTCAAGGGCAGAAGTGATACAAGTAATGCACTGCTGAAGAATATTCACGTAACCTGTTGTGTGGGTTTTTTCTAAATGTACAGTAAGGATAGGGACTGTCACCTTGCAGGTTTTATTACATTAAGTCATTATATTATTTTATGTGTTGATTGCCTCTTTATTTCATAGGATTGCAGGAAACCTGAAGATTATATTTGCAATGTTGTTGATTGCCACATTTCTCTACAGTGTATTTCCCCAGAGCAGAAATCCTGGGACATAGTGCAGTGGGACAGATGGTGTTTGTCATCATCTGACTATTTCAACATACCAGTTATTTCTACACTTGCTTCATGATTGAGCATGAAAAAGGAGGGATGAGTAGTCCCAACAATTCTAGAAGTTCTTTCTCTAAAATGGGCAAAGGGTTACTGGAGCTGTGATGTGGAAGTAAATTTTACATGCAGCTTGGTGGAACTCACCAGCTGCAAAAGGACTAAAATTATTTTGCTTTCATGACCGGGCTCCACGAACGAAGATTTGGGGAGGGCACGCTGGTGGCTGAAAAGGCCGATACGAGATAGACAAGTCTGGTTGCAAAAGGCACAGCAGAAAGACTCCTTAGGTGGTAAATTCTGCAGGGCACGATTCTTTCTGCCTTGTCTTTTCTCCTCCAGGGTGACCCTGTGTGCGTTCTCAAAGGCATCAGCAGCGTTATAGGTGGTGTGTCTCCAGACCTCCCAGTTGGAGGCCAGAGTAGACCAGTTCTGGTGATCAATATGGCCAAGGCTGAGATGTTGTTTCAGGGAGTCCTTGTATCTCCTCTTTGGGGCTCCTCTCTCGCGGCAGCCGGTGGCAGGTTCAGCATAAAGCAAGATATTGGGGAGGCAGTGGTTGGTCCTTCATCCTGGAGATGTGCCCTGCCCTGTTCTCAGCAACATGACCTCAATACCTGTGACTGCTGCTTGTTCTAGAACAGATGGATTGGTCACATCATCTGACCAGTGGAACGAGATAGACAAATCCAGTTGCAAAAGGCACAGCAGAAGGACTCCTTATATATATTTCCATATTTTGCTTTATACCCCAGCTATTTCACGTTGCTTTTCGAGCACCCGTTCCGGTTGTGGTAGTTTGGTCTAGGCCTTCCTTTGGTGACCAGTTTGTAGCCAAGGAAGTGCCCAGATTTTTACGTAAGCCAGGCTATAAGAAGAAAGGAGGAGAGGCCTTCACCCTCTTTTTCCTTCTGGCTGCTTGGAGGTGCAGGTTCCCTGCTTTTGAGTCTGTTGTGTTGGGGAGCGAGGCCTGGTGAGGCCTTGTCGACCCTGGGAGACGGAGGTTGCCGGCGGCTGTTCCAGAGCGACTCTCTGTTGTCCCAAGGAGAGTAGTAAGACAGTCTT